TAATATCACAGTCACAATACAAGCGAAGATGCATGTCCCAGGAAGTAATTGAGAAGTAATTGTGCCAACCCCGACATCCCTGGTCCGCTACAATAGTGATCCTGACTGGCAGAATTCCGCGGAAGAGGAGGTGCCTGCCTTCGAGGATGCCACGGCGCGGGCCGCTTTCCAAGCGGTCGCGGAATGATACCCCTTTTCTGAATACCGCAATTACTTAGCCGGACCTACCTTAGGACAGCATTCAATCCCGCTCTCTCTATACAGATTTTTATCATACAGCCCCCACCCTCATCTTTTCGACTACACGGGTGCAGCTCCCAGCTGAAGTGTTGTATGCACTGCTCACTGTCCTAGCAGCACAGACGGCACGCGCGTCTCCCGAGCGTATACCGGTGGTTTCACTGGGTTGACCTCCATTGGCCAGTCCCTCAACACACTTGTCGGGATTTCAGGGATCTGGGTTTTAGCCTGTGAGACCATCTATACCGGCAACGCTCTGTTTTCGCCTTTGTGTAATACAGCCACACTGTTCCCTTCCTTTCTGGGAGATCAATAGTGGGCTTTAAACAATGTTACCTCTCCACCTGAAAGAGAAGGAAAACCGGCATTATCACCAACAGACGTTCACACTATCCTCATCCGGATCCGCGCCAAAAGTTACCTTGGTTCGTCCAAACACCCATGGTTCGGGCTGGCTCGTTACATAAGCAAAGTGCAGAGCGCATGCAAGTGTGCTAGGACAGGGATAAGGTGATGGGGGGGAAGGTGGCACAGCGAAGTCCAACAACCTTCACTAACCACCGTTAATCGACCAGCTGGCCGTAACTGCCAGGAAAACACACAACTAATAGAACATAAAAGTAACCGCAGGACGATAAGGATTTCCGTGGCTGTGTGTGTGCGAGGTGTGCAATGGATTGGTAGATACTGAATATTTACACCAGAAACTAGGCTTACTACAACGAAATAAGTAGTCAGTAATGCATGGCAAAATACGCCGTGTTACATATAAGGAATAGTTACCACTACTATCAGATACTTACCCCTTAGGTTCATGATCGAGCACAAAAAGCATGTGAATTACGCTCGCTGGTATGTAAAATTTGGCCAGACCGCTCCAGGCTTGCATAAGGGACGGTCCCACTGCATCCGCGCCCGGGGGCATAACGTGCGTATGCGGCAGGAAGTCGTTGCTTTTACGAAAGAAGAAGAGAAAGTCTATAATCTTCTGCAGCACATAGGTCTGAAACCAGCCATCATCTCTAAAAAGCGAATACGCGATGAAACAGAAGTAGATCTGCCAGCATAGGGTGGGTATCAGCCTCCTGTTAAGCCTCTGGAGTTTTTTCTCACGGACCCTACGCAACAGACGCTCAGGCGGGCGCTTGACGAACTTCTGTTTCAGCAGTCTGACTAGTTTGCGTGCTGATCGTGCACCTCTTTGCGCCCCAGCGTCCAGGTAGATTTGGTGGACGTAACTGTTGGGAAAACCGATGTCCAACTGGCCCATGCTGAAGGACTTCCGCAGGCAGTAGCGTTCGTGTCTCTGACTGTATCTGCCCAAACTGCGTCTCTGGTAGACGGAGGGCACGTAGCTGGCTCGGGGCATCAACTGGGGCACGGACGGACGCCAGGTCAGGGAGTCGTCCGTGAATGC